AACATAAAATATAAACTTGCTTCAATAGTCAATACAGAAAAAAAAATTGAAACAGAGGCGCAGTTCATGAAGCACAGAAGCAGAACCCAGAACCAAGCAAAGCAACATAAAATATAAACTTGCTTCAATAGTTAATACAGAAAAAAAAATTGAAACAGAGGCACAGTTCATGAAGCACAGAAGCAGAACCCAGAACCAAGCAAAGCAACATAAAATATAAACTTGCTTCAATAGTCAATACAGAAAAAAAAAATTGAAGTAGAGGCGCAGTTCATGAAGCACAGAAGCAGAACCCAGAACCAAGCAAAGAAACATAAAATATAAACTTGCTTCAATAGTCAATATAGAAAAAAAAAATTGAAACAGTGGCGCAATTCATGAAGTATAGAAGCAGAACCCAGAACCAAGCAAAGAAACATAAAATATAAACTTGCTTCAATAGTCAATACAGAAAATAAAAATTGAAACAGAGGCGCAGTTCATGAAGCACAGAACAAAAGAAATATAAAATATAAACTTGCTTCAATTCAATACAGAAAAAAAAAAAATCCATAGGCGCACTTGTTGAAGTAGAATCAAGCAAAGAAAAAAAAAATGCTAAATGCTTTCATGTCTTTCTATTTCTAATTCCAACTTTTTTTTTTGGTGTCAAAAAGAAAAAAGAGAGAGACGGCATTTGCAGAGCAGCAGAAGTAGAACCAAGCCAAAAAAAAAAAAAATTATAACATGCTTAATCACTGTCCAACTTGAAAGATTACCTGAAATTGGAGACGATCTGGTGTTCAGAACTGCAGATCAGTGCTCAATCGCTGTCCCTCCAGTTACAGGAAGTGTGAAGGGGTAACCTCTGTCAGAGTTGCAAGCTATGGCTGATGGAGACTAAGAGGAGAGTCGAAAGGAGAGTTGCAAGCTATGACCGATGGTGCGCAAAGTGTAGAGGAGAGTCGAGAGGAGAGTTAGGAGGAGTCGGAAGCAGTGTTGTCAATAGCGGTCATAGCGGCATAGCGTAGCGGCTAGCTATGACCGCTATGAAAATTTCCCATAGCGTAGCGTTTTGTCGATAGCGGCCACTATTTGTATAGCGGATGGCGCACATAGTGGCTGCTATGTAATTTTTTTACTGTTTTGATCAAATTACCATGTTAACCCCCATTAAAAGCTTTTAAGTTAAAAATTTTTAAGGTTAATTTTGTCTTTT